GATTTGAGATCTTTCTTCTTCTCTAATGTAGACTTTTAGCTATAAATTTCTTCCCCCAAACACTGTTTTATCTGCATCCCATACATTTTGGGACATTGGGTTTTTGTTTTATGCATTTATTTTCCTATTTTCCTTATAAGGTTCACTTCTAAGAAACCTTATTCAACCAGACTCAGATTAATAAAACTGAAGAACAGGCCAGACACAGTAGCTCATACCTGTAATCCCAGCACTTTGGGAGACGCAGGTGGGTGGATCACCTGAGGTCAGGAGTTCAAGACCAGCCTAGCCAACATGGTGAAACCTGGTCTCTACTAAAAATACAAAAATTAGCTGGGTGTGGCGGTGGGTCCCTGTAATCCCAGTTACTTGGGAGGCTGAGGCAGGAGAATCACTTGAACCTGGGAGGTGGAGGTTGCAGTGAGCCGCGATCATGCCACTGAACTCCAGCCTGGGCAACAAGAGCAAGACTCCATCTCAGTACAATACAATACAATAAGTAAAACTGAAGAATATTTTAGACTTAATCTACCCAGACATGTCCTTAGACAGTGTTATTACCCTACCATGATATTTTCATTGTGAAGGTTTCTCTGGGATTAATTTGCTATTTTATACATCTGTTTGCTGCTTAAAAGAGCTCACAAGACTTCAAACCACTTTCTGTTCACTGGTTCACATGCTGTAGCAAATATAGCCAAATACAGGCAAATCTGCCATTTTAATAAAAGCTTTGAGAACTGAAATGCATTTTTGTATCTGTTCTTTAATATTACCCTTTTATCCCTTCAACAAATATTTATTGAGCGCCTACCATGTGTCAAGTCCTGCACCAATCCCCAAAGATGCAAAGGCTACATTCCTCCAAGATATTTTTGTTTATTTGTTTTTAGCCCTGGGAACCATGTTAGAATTAATGTCATGAACTTTAAAAGTATAGCACATTTATCTAAATTTCTACATCTGGTGAAAAAAGCCTCTAACTCATTCAGAGGATTCTCAACTAACTCCCCCTGCATATCTGGTATGTCTGGCTGGATTCCCAGCCTTTGCCTTCCCCAGTTTGGCCCTCCCCTCCCCCCACCATAACCCTGATTCTGGCAGTTCCCGGGCCATCCCTAAAGAGCCCGTTTAAGAACAAAAGACCATACAGCATTCATCTGAAATAAGGAGGGAGAGAATAAAGAAAAAATTTCTGTCTCTATTTATTGGTTGCAGGGTTAGCCAAATCAGGGCACATCTTTAGACAAACATTGTCAACAAATCCCTCTGACCATTCACTTTGCATCAATATCTCACCTCTAACTGCCTCACTGCAAAGAGCTGGAGCTGTGAGTCACCTGTCTGGGCAATACTCCCCAGGCTGGTGCAATTCAAGTTGCCCACCCTTGCTACCACCTCCCACACCTCCTCCCCAGCGAGACCTCCAATTCCCCCAGTGCACCTGTTTGCTGCCAGTTTCAGGAAGATGCTAATCTGAACTTAGAGCCTCAGTCTTTGTAGAGTCCACTGTTTGCTAGCGTGGAGCTAGGTGCTAGAGATTCAAAGGTCAGCAAGACAAATGTCTGTCCCTCGGGGCTCACAGCAAACAGTAGCTACATTTCACTTGGTAGAATCACTTGATTTCCGGTGCACAGTGGCTGGGTAGTTCAGGTAGTGAGGAAGCCTTGACTTGGTAGTAGTCACCTCTCTCTAGAGAGTCCATCCCCTCAGTCGGCCTTCCTTTTTTTTTTTTTTTTTTTTTTTTAAAAGATGGGGTTTCACCATGATGGCCAGGCTGGTCTTGAGCTCCTGACCTCAGGTGATCCACCCACCTCAGCCTCCCCAAAGTGCTAGGATTACAGGCGTGAGCCACTGCACCTGGCCTTTGCACAACCCTGTCTCTTCTTTGGCTCCTGAATGCACAAATTCTCTAAAACATCCCCTGTTCAGCAACAGAGAGCCCAGGTGTTAAGGAAGCCTTGTGTACAATTAAGTGGTTCGTTGGTTGTTTGTGAGGCTGAGACTGCTCATGGAGCAAATTAAAATGTCATTCGGCCAGCCTAAAGAATAGACTATTCTGGAGATGGCTTGCTCCAGAAAAAGAAAAAAAAAAATAGACAAAGCTGGAGTAGTCTTTGAACAATATCTCTTCTTCATCACTTAGCGACAACTACTCTCATGAAAGGATCTAATAAATGTGTGTATTTTCGGATTGTAACAGGGCATAATGTCTGAAAACAGTGCTTCTCAACAACTGTAAAATGACTTTCATGGGACAATTGGGGACATTTGAACATCCTCTAGATATTTGTCTTCATCTTCTAGATATAAATAATGAAGTATTTATGGACAGAATATAACATCTGAAATTCACTGTAAAATGATCTAGTGTGGGAGACGGTGGAGAATGAGGGGGATTTGTTTGAGAGAATGTTGGCCATATGTTGATAATTTCTGAAACTGGATTTTAAATATATAAAATTTTATTATCTTTTTGTATCTTACTTTTGCATTAGCTTGAAAACTTATTATGAAAAAGTGAAACAAAAAAAGACTAATGCTTCTGAAGCTTCCACTTAAGTATCCCTAACCACAAAAGAGAGCAAAAGTGCACATGCATACTTGGAACTGGGGCTGTTGTGTGAGGTAGCCCCAGTGCAGTAGAGATTTTTTTTTTAATTTCTTGTTTTACTTCAAAAATTGAGATACGTTCCATATTCTATGAAATTGACTTTTAGTATACAAGTTTTAAATTACTAAATTACTTCGGTAGGGGAGAAGAACAACTGTTGCAGCAAGCTGACAGAACATAATTCCCTTGGGAACAAATGTCTTGTCTTGGAACATCCCTTTGAAAAGTTTTATTAAAAAGATAAGTCTGGGCCAGGCGCAGTGGCCCACACCTGTAATCCCAGCACTTTGGGAGGCCGAGGTGGGCAGATCACCTGAGGTCAGGAGTTCGAGACCAGCCTGACCAACATGGAGAAACCCCGTCTCTACCAAAAATACAAAATTAGCTGGGCGTGGTGGCACATGCCTGTAATCCCAGCTACTCAGGAGGCAGAGACAGGAGAATCACTTGAACCCGGGAGGCAGAGTCTGAGGTGAGCCAAGATCATGCCATTGCACTCCACCCTAGGCAACAAGAGTGAAACTCTGTCTCAAAAAAAAAAAGATAAGGCTGGCAGGCGTGGTGCCTCATGCCTGTCATCACAGTACTTTGGGAGGCTTAGGCAGGTGGATCACATTAAGCTCAGAAGTTTGAGACCAGCCTGGGCACCATAGTGAGATCCCGTCTATACTAAGTACACAAAAACTAGCTGTGCATGGTGGTGGGTGCTGTAGTCTCAGCTGCTCAGGAGGCTGAGAAAGGAGGATCACTTGAGCCTGGGAGCCGGAGGTTGCAGTGAGCTGAGATTGTGCCATTGCACTCCAGCCTGGGTGATAGAGCCACTGTCTCAAAAAATCAAAAAAACATAAGGCTCTTGTAAGGTAGCTGGGTGGCCTAAGGTGGGGGGGGCAGAGATGAAAGTAAACTGTTCTCCCTGAGAAGTGAGCAGTAATTTGGGGTTTGGGGAGCTTTGAACTAAAGAGGAAAGGGGTGATCAAGGGAAGAAGAGAGAAGAACCAGCATCATACATAGCAGGAGGCTGGAGCCCCAGTCAAAGTGATGTTGTTCCCTAGTCCTGAAAATGGCCAACACACATTTAAAAGTAAGGAATTCTAATAGTTAATGTTAAGTGGTTGTCTGCGTTTTATGCAGTGCAACGCTCCATTGCTCTAAACGTTTAATGAAGCCTGCTATGGCCATTGCCTTAAGTCACAGTAGTATTTGGGAGAGTGAAGAGATTGGAAAGGAAAATATCTAATTGGGTAACAAGGTATATAAAATGGTGAACAGAGACGAGAGGCAAAATGCAGAGTGGAGATCAAGAAAAATCAGTGGAAATTTGGTCACCAGTATCTCTGGCAAAAAAATAAAGTCATCTTTGTTCAACCCCGTGGGCTCAGACTCACTGGAAATATTGGCAATGATATTGATTTACCATCATATATTCAGGAGAAGTGAAGTCAATTCTACTTTTTTTTTAGGCAGGGTCTCACTCTGTCACCCAGGTTGGAGTGCAGTGATGCGATCTTGGCTCGCTGCAACCTCCGCCTCCCAGGCTCAGGTGATTCGCCTGCCTCAGTCTCCCGAGTAGCTGGGATTACAGGCAAGTGCCGCTACTGCCCGGCTAATTTTTGTATTTCTAGTAGAGACAGGGTTTCACCATGTTGGCCAGGCTGGTTTTGAACTCCTAATTTCAAATGATCCACCTGCCTTGGCCTCCCAAAGTGCTGGGATTACAGGTGTGAGCCACCGTGCCAGGCCCAATTCTACTTCAGCACTAAAAATTTCACTTAAAAAAGATGATCCCTCCAAGACTGGGGAACTTAGGGACATTCAGGCAGCCAGGACCTAAGTTCCAATTACCACTGGCAAAAGGGGAAGGTTTCAACTTGTGTCATTGTCACTCTTGTTGCTCAGATTGGAGTGCAATGGCGTGACCTTGGCTCACTGCAACCTCTGCCTCCCAGGTTCAAGCAATTCTCCTCCCTCAGCCTCTCAAGTAGCTGGGATTACAGGCACGTGCCATTACGCCTGGCTAATTTTTTGTATTTTTAGTAGAGACAGGGCTTCACCGTGTTAGCCAGGATGGTCTCCATCTCCTGACCTCGTGATCCACCCGCCTTAGGCTTTCAAAGTGCTGGGATTACAGGCATGAGCCAATGCGCCCTGCCGGAAATCTTAGAAAATGTGTTTCCTTACTAAAAGATCAAGACATTTATCGTATTAATTTCCTATTGCTGCTATAACAAATTACCACAAACTTAATGACTTAAAAACAACACAAATTTATTATTGGAAAGTGGGAAGTCTGAAAGGGGTCTCACTGGATTGAAACTGAGGTGTTGGTGAGGCTGCTGTGTTCCTTCTTGAGGCTCTAAAGGGGAGTGTGTTTCCTTTCCCTTTTCAGCTTCTAGAGGCTGGGTTGGCTCATGGGACCCTTCCATCTTCAAGCCAGCAATGCCAGGGTGAGTCTTTCTCATATAACACCACTCTCATGGTCCCTCTCCTGCCTCCCTCTTCCACATTTAAGGACCTTGTGATTACATCTGGCTCACCCAGAAAATCCAGGATCACTTTCTTAAATTTGGTTGATTAGCAAACAATTTCATCTGCTACCTTCATTCCTCTTTGCCATATGATGGTAACATATTCATAGGCTCCAGGAATTAGAACATGGCCTATGTTTGTGGGGTGATTATTTTGCCTAACACATATATGTTTCATGACACACTCAGAGTCTCTGCATTACCATTCAGGCTCTCTCATTGTCTCTATACAAAAAGTGAGCAAAGAATTTCCTCAATAAAGAAAGATTGTTGATATTATTTTTAATCATCGTTTTCATAATTTCCATGCATATACATATTCTAGATATTTCATTACTCATAATCCCAATGATCACTGATTTCCATCCAACTCTTTTTTATTTCGTTTTGTTTTTTTTTTGGAGACAGGGTCTCCCCCTGTTGCCCAGGCTGGAGTGCGGCGGCACAATCTTGGCTCACTGCAACCTCCACCTTCTGGATTCAAGAGGTTCTCCTGCCTCAGTCTCCCAAGTAGCTGGGACTACAGGTGCTCACCACCACACCTGGCTAATTTTTTGTATTTTAGTAGAGACAAGGTTTCATCATGTTGCCCAGGGTGGTCTCGAACACCTGAGCTCAGGAGATCCACCCACCTTGGCCTCTCAAAATGTTGAATGTAATTTTTGGTGTAGCAAATTTTATGTAGCATAAAATAATTCAATTTTGCTTTTCAGTTATTGATCAAGATAATGCAGCCTTAAAAATATCTGCAAAATAAGCCAAATTTGTGAACTAATATTTTTGTTATGGTTTTGATCAGGGTTTTGCTATAAGAAATATAATCATTCTAACTAGCTTAAAAAATTATTACAGGGTATTAAATGACCTAAATATTATTGGAAAAACTGAAGGAGCAGGCTAGATGAGGTGGCTCACACCTGTAATCCCAGCGCTTTGTGTGGTCGAGGTATGAGGATTGCTTGAGTCCAGGAGTTCAAGACCAACCTGCACAGGATTCTGAGACTCCATCTCTACAAAAAATAAAGCACTATCCAGGCATGGTGCCATGCTTCTGTAGTCCCAGTTACTTAAGAGGCTGAGGTTGGATTACTGCTTGAACCCAGGAGGTTGAGGCTGCAGTGAGTAATGATGGTGCCACTGCACTCCATCCCAGGTGACACAGCAAGACCCCATCTCAAAACAAAACAAAACAAAACAAAACAAAATTGAAGAAACAAAAATTTTGGGACAAACTTTAAGGACTATGGCTCAGAGGTGGACCATCAAAAGAAGCAGGAATCAAGTAAAGGAAGAGATAGAGCCAACAAAATTGTTATGATGATGATAATAGAAATTAGTAGAGTCAAAAATTATATTTGATCTTGGGGGGTAAGAACATGAGAGAGGAGAAAACCATCTAATAGCTTTATTTATTTGTTTATATTATTTCATTTATTTATTTGTTTATGTATTTACTTAGCTACTACTTATATAGTTACAAAAGTGGTAATCTTATGTTTATTTCTTCTATTCAGTGTAAAAATTCAAAGAATACAGAATTATATAAAGTATCTTCCTGTCAGTTACACCAGAGATGTCCTCTCTTAACATCCAGAGATAACCTCTCTTAACAATTTGTTAGCAATCTTTTAGACTTCCTAATGTATAAACACACATATAAGCAAATTCGTTAGATTTTTGCTAAACAAATAGGTAAGTACTACACATTCTGTTTATAATTTCTTTTTGCACTTAACAGATCATGGATGTTGCAATGCACTTTTAAAATATTTATATGTTTTTGCACACTTGCTTTATTACTTTCTTGGAATAAATTCCTTTAAATTGAATTTCTAGGTTAAATGTGAACACTCAAAATTTCATTGATACAAAGGTTGTACCAATGTGCACACCTACCAACATGGAGCCAATGTTAAGTTACATCAGCCATGCCAGTTTTATAGGTAAAAAAGGACAATTCTGGAGATTGATCTGTAGCATTTTTGTAATGTTTTGTTGGCTTTGGTACCAGGTGTTTACAGCTTTCTAAAATAAACTAAGACTTTCTCCTTCCTTCCCTATTCTTTAGAATAGTTGAAACAAGAGAGAAACTCCTAGAAAAGACTGGTAGTATTCACTGGGAAACCCCTGGACTGGTGTTTTGCTGGGAATGGAGGTAATAGGTGTTTGATAAACTTTTTCATTTGTCTATTGTAATTGGTTTGTTTGGATTTTCAATTTTTCTATTAAATTGTTCATTTTATCTAAATGTTCAGATTTATCAGCATAAAACTATATACATTCCTACAACAAAAATTCTGTTGTGCCTATCATCACACTCCCTTTCCACTTCTATCATTGTGTATTTGTGGTTTCTCGTAATCAGACATAAAAAGTTTCTCAATTTCATTGTGCTTCAAACTAACAACTCCTGATTTTACATATGAAGCCATTTTTGTTTTCCTAATAAATTAGATTCTGCTTTTATCCTTTCATTAATTTTTTCTTTCTCCTTCATATTATTTTATTGTTTGTTCTACCTTCTTTCAAATATTTCAACATTTCATGTTTATTAATAAATGCATTTAACTTTATGGATTTCCCCTGAATATACTGATATCTTTTACTGTATATTTTCATTTGTTAATATCTAAATTATCTATAATTTCAGTTTTGAGTTCCTCTTTGACTTAAATTTGTATGACTAATTTCAAGTAATGTAATTTAGTGGGAAGGAAATTCCCTTTTATTATTGATTTCCTGTTCCATTTCACTATAGTCAGAAAATGTGACAGTAAAAAAGGTATAATTTTTACCTTTTCAAATATCTGTTTGACAAGGATATATATTTTCAAGCTTACTAGGCATATATGTAATTCAGACTTTCTTTATCTTAGTTATTTTGCTCTATGTATTCTATAAAATCCAGAGGAAGATTTATGAAAATTTCCATTCCAATTATGATTTTGTCAAATTTTCTATGTATTTCTAACAATTTTTACTTTAATTGTTTTGGCCATAAATATTCACAAATTTTATAACATCTTCACGGGCTATACTTTTGTCAACATGAAATATCCTTTTTGGCCAGGTACTGTGGCTCATGCCTGTAATCCCAGCACTTTGGGAGGCTGAGGTGGGTGGGATCATCTGGGGTCAGGAGTTCAAGACTAGCCTGACCAGCATGGCAAAACCCCACCTCTACTAAAAATCCAAAAATTAGCCAGGTGTAGTGGCGAACGTCTGCAGTCCCAGCTACTCGGAAGGCTGAGGCACCAGAATCGCTTGAACCTAGGAGGCAGAGGTTGCAGTGAGCTGAGATTATGCCACTGCACTCCAGCCTTGGAGACAGAGTAAGACACAGTCTTAAAAAAAAAAAAAAAAAAGAAAAGAAAAGAAAAAAAAGAAATATCCCTTCTTATTCTAGCTTTTTGCCTTAGATGCTGTCTTGTCTGATATTAATTTTACCACCTTTGTTTTTTGCAGGAGAGGCTTGTTTGCTATATTTGTCTAGTCCATTATTTTTAGTGTTTTTATTTTTGTTTAAATATGTCTTGTTAACAACACACCTAGTCTTGTTCTTTAGAAAAATCATTTGAAAGTCACTAATGGGAACTTTATCGTATTGACGTTTACCATGGCCACTGTGTTTCCATCACATTTTAAGTTCCTGTGTGGGAATCTCCCAGCATGCAGGGATCCTTTGTCTGACTGGAGAGACAAGTAACAAATGCAGATGATTTGAGCTCCTAGAATGTTGGCCTTCAGAATTTGTCTACTCCAATCTTCTCTTTGACTTATGAGGAAACAGAAGGATGTCAGATCATGCCATTTAATGGCAAAGCTTGAACTAGCAGCTAAATTTGAACATAAGACTGTGATATCTGACATAATTTCATGAAGATCTTGTTAGGGTCAAATTAAATCAATTATAAGTCAGTACTGGCTTTTCTCCTTTTTGGACAATTTATGGCATTGCTCGGCACTCAATAATGTTTAATGTCATTCCACATTTAAAAGCGCAATATAGTCTGCTATTTCCCAAGGAGTGACCCTGTACTGCTGAAGGCACAAAAATAAACATTTTTAAATATACTGCTACATTAACATTTAAAAATATATTAAGAATTATATATTTATTTTCATGTACATTAGGGAAAATATGTATTGTCATACACATTAAGGAGTATTATGACTTAGAATAACACTAAGATAAAATGTGGGTCAATAAAGAAATAGCACAGGTGACAGTATGGAAAATATGAAGGACAAGTTTGGGAAATACTGGTTTCAGGATAAAAACATTTTCAGAGTAAGAAAACTGGTTTGATATCCTGGCTCTGCCCTTTGTGAGGATTAGATAAGATGTAAAATGCCTGGCTTAGTAAATCTTTGGCTGTATTTTCTCTAACTTATCTTGTGTTAGTCCTGTTTCCTTAATTAGATTGTAAAAACCTTCAATGACAGAACAAAATACATGTTGCAAAGCAATAATCACTGTAATATGAGATATGTTCCAGAAGAAAAGTGGCCATAGTGAGCCAAGCACAGCCTGGTTATTTCTGAACAGAATCCAAGTTTTATTTTTGCAGACTCATTACAGTCATAAACTATATTGGCACCAACATTGAATACAGGTTTAATGATACTAGGTAAGGTATATAGCAAGGTCAATGGAAATGACCTTTGCTCTCTACATGGTTAGAATCTAAATTAGTTTCCACATTGGGCTAATTATAGGACCATTTGGCTATTTTTAACTAGATGTATGAATTGGTTAGTTATTTGGGTCTCAGTTTCCTCAACTGCAAAACAACTGTTGTGCCGGATAACCTGTGAGGTTTCTTGGCCAGGTACAGTGGCTCACGTCTGTAATCCCGACATTTTGGAAGGTTGAGGCAAGAGGATGGCTTGAGTTGAGGAGTTTGAGACTAGCCTGGGCAACATAGCAAGACCCATCTCTATAAAAATTCGCTGGGCATGATGGCACATGCCTGTAGCCTAGATTCTCTGGAGGCTAAGAGCAAGGATTGCTTGAGCCCAGGGGTTTAAGGCTGCAGTGAGCTATGATCATGCTGCTCCACTCCAGCCTGGGCAACAGAATGAGACCCTTTCTCAAAAACAAAAACAAAAAACCCTGTAGGTTTTCTGACAATTCCACTCTCTTATTGGATTCCCCTAAGTGAATACTGTTAATTAATTAACCAATTGATTAATTCATTTATGCAAAGAGATATGTTCACTTACTCTGTGCCAGACACTGTTAGAGAAACATGGTACCCACTGTTCTCAAGGAGCCTACTTAATAAATGCCTGTTAATCACTTTTTGGCCTGACTAAAAAACAATAGGGTTTATTTTAAGAAAATCATTATACTGTGTAACTGTTTGGTGGCAGAAAATAATATTAAACAATTAGCTGTCGCAAACTGACAAAATATTTGCTTCATGAGAAAAATTTGAAATGACATTTTTTTCTGGAAATAAACCAAAACAATCTGAATAAAGTGATTCTGGAAATGCAGTTTGGAAACACCACCACCAGTCCACACCTGGGTCTGTCCAGCCTGTGCTAAGTTCTAAAGCAAGAGTCAAATGAAAGAGAGGAGATAATCTTGCAGAACTTTTGGCTAGCAGGGGAAACAAGAGATACCTCCAGTGCCCCCCACCTAAGAGCTCACTGAGCAATTCTGTGCAAATTAGGAAAAAGAGCGTCCTCCAGGCAGACAACTTACAAAATGGTGCCCATCAGGGCAACCAATTAGATAAAGAAACCAGACTGCCCTAACAAGGGTATGTCTTGTCAAGGGGGCACAGGCTGATTTCAGCCCCACTCACCCCATTATGTCGTCTGGATTTGTGCAGAGCACAGGCTACAGACCTGTGCAGCAGCCTGGCTTACAGGGGAACAATTGAGTAACAGTTCTAAACACACTGAGGAGACACTCATGTGGCTTAAACTGTGACCCTGTGAAAAAGCAGTTTTAAAGATTTCTAACTCTACCAGTCTTTTCAAACTGAGCAATGTTCTTAGTCTAAGAAGGAAGTTTCCTCACAGTGCCTGAAAAAACATGGTTTTAGAAAGAAGCTGCCTATTCACATTAGGCCTTTGTCCAGAGATTACTGCCATTTCAGCAACAAGACACCCAGTCAGTGTGAGGGTTAAATGTTTTAAAATCCTCTTCCACTGAAGGCTGGATCTTGTTGCCTAGTGACTGCTTCGTTGCTTGCTGCTGTCACTCACCTTGTCTCTGGAGTTATCCTACTCTCAGAAGGAAGGTTATGATTGGACAAAGGTGACATCATAGCAAATAAAAGAATGGCATCTCTTTGTCAAGACAGCACCAATAAGATGATTCAAGAGTTGGTAGCAAAGTGTTTCAGTTCCTTTGTTTCGTTTCTTTAACATAGAGTTAATAAATTTGATGAAACATTTTCTCCATTTCTTGCAGAACCAATATTCAGGTATTAGTAGTGGATTTTTGCCCATAAAAATGTTTTTGACAGCATATGGATTGTCTTCACAACCATTTAATCAATCCTAGTCCAGCCAAAGCCATTCCCTGCCAAGCACTTGGTCAGCACTCGAGAAGCTGAATAGATTACAGGCAGAAAATGACTAGCTGACAGCTCATTATCACACCATTGGTTACAGACTGGAATTTCACACAAGGCAGGTTCTTCTTGGTGCTTATCTCAGAAGTACCTAAAGTGGTTCCAAAGCATCAATTTCAAGGACAGCCTTATAATAAGGCTTCAGAGTACATACATGAGGCATTGAAAGAGTAAAAAATTAAAATCGATTAAAGTTGAAAACATACCTACTTTTAAAATCAAGCAGTTGGAGAAATCTCACACATTTTTAGATAATAAACAAACATAAGTTCTTTGATTACTTTTGAATCGACTTCACACATTTTGCAGTGCTTTGAAAATCAAGCCTGAGAGTCTTTATTTCATTTTTAAATTTATATTATGTACTCTTGCATATGTCAGCCATCGAAGATATGAGCTATGCAATTGTAGTGTTGGTTGCAGGTTCATTATTGCCAAGCTGCTATATTAAATCATCTGTTAAATGCTTTCTTTTCTTGGTAAATATTCAGTATACAGTATAGTCACAACTGCTATAATTGAATAATTGCTTCCAATTAATGCTCTATTTCAAAAGCTGCAACTCCATGTAAAGCTTATAGTTGAGTCGTAACAAAAGCAAACCCCCAAGGGAAACAGAAGAGAGTGAGAATTCCTTTCTGCAATTCTACTAGAAAGTAATGAGAGAGAGAGAGAGAGAGAGAGAGAGAGTACTAATGAATTATATATGGCCATGTTTCACTGATAAAGAGCCTGTAGTATGCAGTTGTCAGTTGTAATGTGTAAGTAACAGTATGTCAATTGAAATATATAAGTACACCATTGCCTCTTCCAACAGCTGGCTGAAAGTATTTAAACATTGTAATTTCTCATTTGAATAATCAACAATTGTTCTTAAAGTGAATTAAAGCTGACCATATATTTCCTGGGGAAAATTCATTTAAAAGAAGGAAAGATCGTATTTACACAGAATCAAATTGCAAGAAAACACAGAATTATACTCAAATACTTTCATTCAAGAAAAAAACAATTTATGTATAATTTCCTTTAAGAATTCAGATTCGTGTGCAAGTGAAGGCAGAAAGCGGGTGGGAGTCCTTTAAATTAGATCAATATGATGTGAGGGGAAGTTTTCCTACTGACATGCTTGCTGTTCATTTGACTAGAAAGATACCAAAACATCTGAGTTCTTAAAGTATGTGCTGGCTGGCAGTTACTTGAAGGATTAGTAAGTGTTTGAGTCAAATGATTTTGTAGAATTGCTTGTACTTTAATTTGATTAAGATTCAGCTTCTTACTTACTTTTACTCTACTTAAGAGATTCAATACTGTAAGCAAGACCTTAAGAAAATGCTTGAATTACTTAATGAAATCTATTGGATAGGCTAATTATAAAGTTACTCCTCTCTATTCCCTTAATGTCCTAAAAAACTTAGATGTTTTTGTTCCAATTATATTTAAAAGTAGTATCTATTTCAATATACTTTTCAATAATGTAGGCTGACCTTTATGCAAATGAGAATAGGTAAGATTTTATCACATAAAACCATTTGTTAATAAGATTGGGAGGCCAGGAGGGAGGAGTGCTTAGGCTAGGAGTTCACGAGCAGCCTGGGCAACAAAGTGAGATACCATCTCTACAAAATAAAACATAAAATAAAAAAGAAATTAGCAGGACATGGTGATGCATGCCTGTAGGCCTAACTCCTCAGGAGACAGAGGTGGGAGAATCACATGAGCTTATGAGTTTGAGGTTATAGTGAGCTATGATATTGCCCTTGAGCTCCAGCCTGGGCAACAAAGCAAGACTCTGTCTCTTAAAATAAAAAAAGTAAATAATTAAATAAGGTACAGTAATATGGATACCAGTTTAGAGAAACAACTCTTTCTTAACTTCCTGGATTATATGTTTTGTGGTTTAGAAGTTATTTTAGCTTGAAGAGTAACTATAACAGTTTATACTGCATAGGATATACTGTTTTCTCAGAAGATGTTTGACTAAGAATTTGTATTTAAGATTTGCTAGGAGCAATCTTCAAGTGTCAGGACACAATAGTGGCTCTTTGAAATGCACATTTGGTTCCCTCACTCCCCTGATCTTGGATTCTAAGTTCTTACCATGGTACCTGCAGAGTTCCACACGTGACATGGTCCCTGGAACCTGAATGTCATCATCTCCTACCAGTCTTTCCTTTGCACAGCTTCCTCTGGGTACAGTAGCTATTATTCTTGCAGTTCCTGTAAACGCATCAAAGGGCTGCCCTTCCTTGACCTTCCCTGGTTCCTGCCTAGAGGCTCCTCCTCAAGATACCTGCAGATGGGCTCCTGCACATCACTCCATCCCTGCTCTGCTCAGATGCCCAACTTATCTAAAATAGCAACTGTCACCCTGGTTTTACTTCCTCTTCGGCATCTTGTTTTTCTTCATAGCATTTATCACTTCTGTTATTTTATTTCAATTTCTTATTTTGTCTATTCTCCTCCCACAAGAATACAATCTCCATGAGGGCAGAGACTTTTGTTCACTACCAACTGCCAAGGCCCAGTAGAGTGGTGGGGATTTAATAAATGCTTCATGTTATGGCCAGGTGCAGTGGCTCACACCTATAATCCCAGTGCTTTGGGAGGCCAAGGCAGGTGGATCACTTGAG